GACCTGAATTCCTTCTATCGTGGTTTCAGGTGGAAAGACTGGAGAACAGAAGTTTCAAATTCCCCGGGCGATCAGGCTTTTGGATTTTTTCCTTTTCTTTGGACAGCCGAAGGTAAGGATATAGAGAAAAACTCCAGAGAACTGATTCCTGTTGAAGAAGTGTATCGGCTAAACCTTTCCTTCAGGGAACAACTCTAAAACCGGGATGTTAAAGGAAACTTTTGTAAAGCTGGCAGCTACCTACACAGACGACAACCTGCTGATCAATGAGTTGTGGGAAGAAGTTAAGGCTGCCCATTCGACGCCTAAACGACATTACCATACCTTAAAACATCTTGAAAACCTATTGCACCAGCTGGAAGCGGTAAAGGACCAGATCAAAAACTGGGACGTTATCTTGTTTACGCTTTATTACCACGACATCGTTTACAATCCTTTAAAAGATAACAATGAAGAGAAAAGTGCAGAACTGGCTGAAGTGAGACTCCGCTCGCTTGCTGTGCCAAATGAGCTTGCTCAGCAATGTAAACAACAGATCCTGGCGACAAAAAAACATCTTTTGAATACCGATCCCGACACCAACTATTTTACCGATGCCGACCTCTCTGTTTTAGGGCAAGACTGGCCCCTTTATGCTGCTTATGCCGAAGGCGTAAGAAAAGAGTATTCCATTTATCCGGACCTGATTTACAAACCGGGAAGGAAAAAGGTGCTGCAACATTTCTTGCAGATGGACCGCATTTTCAAAACAGATTACTTTTACAACAAGCTGGAAGCAACTGCGAAAAGAAACCTGGAACGGGAATTGGAAGCGCTTTAACGTTCAGTTTCTACTTTAAACAAACCCTTGTATTTATTACGCAGACCCTCCGCTTGTTCGGGAGAAAGCAGCACAAAGTTCTCATCAAGTAAATCCTGACGAAAAAAGTTACTGTCCTCGGGTAAAAAGTAAATGCCATAAGGAATACCTGCTTCCAAAAAAGCTTTGTTAATGGTGTTGATCATCAGGTTGTTCTCCCAGGTCTGTCCTTCATTCTCTACTTTAAATTCATATTTCTTTTCCTTACAACGGAAAGAAAAAACCAACATATCCTGGCCGGCATCTCCTTTTTCCGGAACCTTTTCGTAATCGGCTACATATGCTGTAAGCACGTCCTTGTCCGTCTGCAGCAATCCTTTCATGGTCACGTTTATCTGATACAAAAAACGCTCGAAAGTCCATGCTCCTCCCCCTGAGTTAAAAGCATTGGGAAGTTCTAATAACAAATTAGAAACAGATACCGGATTTTTCTCTCTGAATGTGGCAATGAGCTGCATGCGCTGCGCTTTATTTTTCAGGATGCCTGAGGCCAGAAAAAAATCAACAGCTTCCGTAACCTGTGCACGTGTGAATCGCTGTGTCAGATCATAACGTTCCCATGCGGTGTAGCTATAATCTCCGGGAGTACCGTTATAACAAGGGCTGATCTTACTTGCCATATATACATTTCTGGCAAAAGCTTCCTCTTTCTCGTTCAGCAGGGTCATCAGTATTGTTCCTGGTTCCTGGGATTCATAACCTGTAAACAGACCATGTTGTGTAAAGTACAGACCGACGCGGATCTTTCTGGTCTTCCAGGTAATGATTCAAAAATTGAAAGTTCTGGGGCAAAATCCAGCTTTCTAATTCCCGCTCCTTTATCATTTCTTTATACAGAATATCATTGATCTTCACATAAATATAGAACTGCCGGTTGTTCGGATACTTCATTTGGTCTTCCGCTTCGTCTTTTAACACATGAACTTCAAGAGCTGAATATTTGAAATTCAACAGTCTTGATGCCTTTTGCAAAACCAACTCGTAAAGCTGCTTTATTTTATCTGTGGGAATCTGGCCATAATCATCCCTCGTCATGTAATCAAATGGTTTGATCTCCGTTTCGTAATCCAGGCTCAGGTAGTTTTTGGTCTGTAAGGCCAGGTCATTGATGTTCAAAAGGGTATCTCTTTTGTAATTTTCAACCAGTTTCGTTGCAGCAGTTTTGTCTATAAAACCACTGGCAATAAGGCTGTCTAACAGGGAAATCTGTTGTTGCCGGTAATAAGGAAATTTATCATGGTAAGTGATCAGCGCTCTGATGTCGTCCATCATCCGGCGCTGACTTACCGAAGAGATGATCTCCTTTCCGTTATTGAACTTATCCTCCATCCTGGTATCTGCAGCATCGAGCAAACCTGCTTTTTTAAAGATAGCCAGCCATCCTAAATAAGGCTTAACCTGCTTCACCCGTTCCT